CGCCACGATTCCAGAAAGTTTTGCCAGTGAAAGAAGGCACTTGTGCCTGCAACCACCCGAGCTTCATCTTTCATCTTGTCATATAAGAGTATCCAAATCCAATGAAATAGACATTGAAGATCTTCTAAAAATTCTTCGATAGTTAGGGAAATTATATAAATTGAGATCTTATCAGAATTTGGTAAATACGAAAAATTTCCTCTTATTTACATTGATATTTCCCTGCTTCTATCGGTATCTAGCTTTTTATAGTTCCTGGTAAGGGCATATTTAAGGGCCTTAATACTAATTCTGGATTGATTTATCTCTTGACTGCGAGTAGAGTCTATAACCCATTCTGCCGAGTAAAAGTTTAAAGCGAGAACGCAGCCTTACAAGTTGTGTCCCCACACATACACCTGCGCTGACTTATGCTGACAAAATGCTTTGATAAATAAATGATTAATTTCTCGATAATACCATGCCCCATTGATTGAGTCAAAAGCAGCTATAGAATCGATGAAGCATATTGGCAGATTATTTGAAACGATGTTCCAGTACTTTTCTTAGCGTTAAAATTTGGTCATTATGATCCATTTCCTATTTTATTAAGACGTCCTGCTGTCATTTATTGCCATGAACTTCGGCAAAAGAGTTATAGAAACCCAGAAATATCTAGCAAGTTGATTTTTCGGTATTTGTAAATGGGAGCGGAATTACCTTGTTCCAGTCATAAGGCATTTGCTCCTTTTGCTTGAATTATAGAGATCAACTCGTGGAACTGGTCGGTGGCTCATCCCATTTTCCTTTCTCCTTATTGCACACAGTTGATTCCACAGAATACCGTGTGGATTATCAATTCTTGCGCTAAGTTACAAATCATTTTACAACTTTTTTTCCCATTTTTTTCACGAATTCAATTGTGGAACTCAAAGGTTTGTAGCATTTCCGAAGCCTATTTCTGGACTGAATTTCAAGAACCATTGTACATTGTTTATTTTTTAGGAGCATTGCCACTAAATCTTTTTGTATATTACGAACTACTTACTCATTGCATTAATTCTCATGAAATGTTATAACTCGAAAATTATGTCGTTTCATGTTCAATTTGACTGCTCAAAAAAATCACCTTTTGCAGTGAATCTTTTAACCAAAATAATCAAAAGAATTTGGAGGATATTGTGACACTTTTCCGCATTGTTTGTTTTATTTGGCTCCAACCATACTAAGACCTGATTCCTGGAGGTTCGCAGTATCGATTCCACGATACGCGCAGAGCTATCTAGCACATAATTCTTCCATCAGTAACTGTTCAAAATGTAGTCAATCTGACTGGAATCTTGTCTTCTATATAATAAGATATCTCCAGTGCTGAAAATATGTATTGTTGATAAAAAGTATATTCTCCTCAGCAAAGCGGGGAAGGCGTTGGCATTGGTTTCTACACACAGTCACAAAAGATAGTACCTTACATCCTACATACGCGTTCCAATCTCCCACTGTGATGATTGCGTCATTTTTCTTGAGAGGTGGTGCTAAAGTTAAAATCATTATAGAATTTATTTTTATCTAAATCATCCATGCAGAGTCTAGAAGTGCACACTGATAGCAGAGATACTGCAGTGTCCTCAGTTAACTAAATTAATAGCATTGATTGGTTATATTTTTTCAAGCAATTATTCCATTATTATGAATTCGGCCATAAATATGATTCTCCATACATACGCATAAAGCATAAGGATAATGCTTTAATACGGTAAAATGAATGAAAAAAATGAATAAAAAAATAGAGAAGTGAAAAGTGTAGCATGTCAAAAATTTAAAGCAATGATTCTGTATGGTTGGCTTTATTTTAGAACGGGAATTCTAGCCTTTCTACACTATGAATGCCATTGGCAGTCCATTGAAACCTACTAAACTTATGAAGATCAAATTCAGACATAAATTAAAACTTTTTTTTAAAAAGTTTTGTAGTTTGAAGTTTTGATTTAAATTTGAATACCCAGAAAATTATAAATATTAACAAAAATATACCGGAAAACCATTTCACCAGTTCAACAAAAAATATACAAAGAAAAAAGAAGTAGTTCAAAGCTCTAAGCCTCCATGAATTTTTAGAGTAGAAAAATAATTTTTAGAGTATTAGTTTTACTTTTAATCTTCCTTTCTTCATATCGACACAAATGTGATCGAGGATGATAGCTTAGTACTACTGGTAAATTTCATATTTAACATTTTCTTTACTTCAGATTTATGCCTAAATTTCGTTTAAATTGAGACGTTGATCAGTTTTATAAATTCGCTGATTGAGGAAGTGCCACGCTTTAAATAATTTAAAGACGAAAGACGAAATCTCAATTAGATAGCTCAGCCTTTGACCACTCATGTCTAAGATATTTTTTACGGATCCGTCGAGCGGATTAAATCGCACATAATTGTATACATCTTCGCTCAATTACCACCTATATTAATATTGTTATCACAGAGCGTCGCCTTCTGTCTAAATGTTTTCCGACTTTCACCACAGGAGTTGAAGCATATTTTATTAATTGCTAACCTCTGTGATGGTTGGCGTCAAAAGCGAGGAGGGCAGATGGTATCAGAAGATCTGGACTAACACAATCAGGAAAGATTTTGAACGTATAAGAGGACCAGCGATATATGGATTTAAACAATGGAAAAATGAATGGCTTTTATTATTACTAGCGATGGCTTCGGATCGAGCAGCTTGGAGACGTCTTACCCTGTAGCTAGCGGAGCCAGCCTAACCAGTATCAGTAATGGTGAGATAGTTGCAGCATGCTGCTTTATTTTGTGTTTGTGATTGAGAGTGAAAGGTTTCTAGGTTATTAACCTTAGATCACTGATATCTAAGGTGCATTTTACTTGCTTTTCGAGTGAGTATCTCATATGATTATATATACTTTTTTTTCGAATACCTATCTATATAACAGTGCCCTGATCCGAATGATGCTGCCGACTCACCTGTACTTCTGTTGCCAAGGAACTCTCTGGCATATTTATCCAATGTAACAAGCCAACGAGTTTAACCAGTAATGGTGAGGACTTTTAAAATAACAGTATCCTGATAAAGAGACGCTGATTACGCCACGTTCTTCGCCACTCTTCACAGGAATATCTCTCTTAACTTATGTCTTTCTTCTTGCTAATTTCTCTGGCAGATAACGGAAAAAGCGAGGAAGACCAGTCAAAATCTGGACGGGTACACTCAGAGAAGATTTTGAACATATAGGCCGCTTAGACGATAGAAAAATGTTATATCAATTTTGGTGTCGGAGTGGCTTAAAGGCCTTACCCTTACTCTTCCCAAGCTTTACCCTTCTACCCAGCAAATCTCGCCTAAAAAAGAATAGTGCTAGCATTTAGAAGTTAAGATTTGACATTTATCGTCTAGAATTACTGTAAAAATGAACAATTAGAATAATAAATGGAATCATCAAAAGGTTATTTTCTTATCTGATTTAATTTTTTAGTGGAAGACCAATTCAAATCCTGTCGAATCGCTAAACTTTATGAAGAGGGTGGTTCACATCATTCTTTCCAACATATTAAAAGAACGCTGTTGTTTCCCTAAAAACATTTTCAAAAAACTGAAGATAAAAAGTGAGTAAAAGAGGAAAAAACTTAATTGTTTTCTGGATAGTTTTCTCCGTAGCCAGTTTCAAAAAGCACGTTGGCGTGAATTAGCTCTTAAAAAATAATGCCGATAAAAAAACTTACTGAACCTAGTTTTTCCCTGCTTTTATGCAAAAATCAATTATAGATAAGTATTATTTTATAGAAATTTGCAATGTAATAATTTATAATAATTTAAAATAATTCAATTGCAGCCACTGTAGCGAAATAAAATATATTTTACTTTAATAATATAATAAAGGAACCATCCACAATGAAGAGTGCATAATGAGAAATAGAGGAGAGGCCGAGTGCTACAATCAAACACGATCAAAGCGTTTTACTTCAGTGAACCACAAGGAACATAGGAAGGTGACTTTAGCGCAGTAGAGCTGCAATAAGTGGTTCATATTGATATCACAATAAGCTCTATCGCTCGCAGTGATAAAAACGAGAGCATCGGGAAAAAAAGGATAAAATTTTGTAAAGAAAAAGAATAGAACAGAATATAAAAAAGCAAATTTATGAACGAAATATAAATAACAAGAGCAAAATTGCAAAGAAAAGTGAATTAACAGCAATGCATACGAAAATTTTGCAGAAAAAAAGTGAATAAAATGTGAATATCATTTTTGTCTTTAAACGTTCATGCGAAAACACAGGCTCATCAGATTAAACTTCTTTGATTAATGTTTGTCCCTATGGCTTATTTTATTGCCAAATATCACCGCCAAACATATCTGCCTTCTTGCCAACCTAAAAGTAATTCCTGGAGTAAACAGTGATATTGATATTGAATGCGCATCATGGAGAGCACCCTTGTAAGAGGATCTGAGCAAATGACAAAAGATTGAATAATGCGCTAAGTGACTTATCTTCCTAAAAAGAATAAAAGCCTAGCAAGGTTTAGACTTCCCTTCGCGTTATTAACATTATTAACCCACATGAAAATAGCGGCAATTAAAAAAATTCGGTAAAATTCGGTAAAATTCAACAAAGATTTCTCGAAAATGGGTCTCTAACTCCAACTCACTTTTCGTGAATTCCAGTTTTTTGACTCATGAATATAATGTTTTTGATGGAAGATAGGCATGCACATACAAATTAACATCATCAAATTCATATGTGCCTTTTAGGCGTGAAATTCTGGACCATTTCCAAAGAAACTCACACTGGGCGATCATTGTGCCAAACACTGTTAGGCGTATACGATGCACTCGAAAAAAAATACGTTTGGCTTTCAATTTTATACTTCAAATTGGAATTTTTCCTCAAATTTGCATCGAATTTGTTGATTTTCCACTTTTTCGTTAAAAAATATGTTTGATTTTACTGCTTAATCTAAATCCATTTCTTATGGAAATGGATTTCACTTAGGTTCATTTATGATGAGACATGTTTTTCAGTTACGCGAATTGATATTAATGATGAATATTGAAGAAGATAGAAATGCAGCGATTGAAGTTTATGTTCTGCGATTCTATTATTCAGAGAAGGGCGAAAATTTTGTTTTATACGAGTTCATTTTTTCACTCTCTTTTATTTACCTTCGTTGGACGGAGTTTAGGTCAAATTTATAAATAAAATCAGAGTTAATTAATATTCTTCATTTGCAATAATTACAGCAATGACCGGAAAATATTAGTTGCATTAGAATACAAAGGCGATGTTCATCTACCGAAGCAAATAGCCTTTCTGTTGAGACGTATTACAGATGTCACTTCTACAATGGAATGTTTACCAGAAAGGACATTACCTTTGCTTAAACTTACCTATTACTCAAGTTAATTTCGAGCCATCCTTTTCATTTTTCAATGCATTTCGATAAACTGCTGGATTATTTTTTTATTACAAGTTCGCTTTATTCGTTTGTTGTTCCAGATACTCCAGATGATTACGAACCGGAAGGTTTCAAACGTTGTAAGCATACCTATCATTTCAAAGATGCTTTCGGAGAAGGTATTCTTGGACAGATCACCGCAAAATTCTGCTCGTATGATTCGAATACCTATAATGGAGTCTTTTCTATGCTTTTTCTAAATTTTTGAGAAACTTTTTTTATTTTATTTTATTAATCATGTTTCATTCGCGAAATCGATGAATTACTAATTTTCTTTAGTATTTATTTATTTCCTTAATATTTAATATTATTTTTTTCATATTTCAGTTGTACAGTCGAAGTTAAATCGATTTTTATTGACGATCAACGACTTTCCATGCAAAATTTACATTTGTTTAAAAGAAATAATCGCGGAAATGTTGCAGATTATGCATCTGATTGGAATAAAACTGTATGCTCAAAATTTTGAAAAATTTATGTCGATCTGGTCATTTGCAATTTTTTAGATAACAGCATTTGATTAGAAAAGTAGTGCTTTATATTAAATCGCATGCAAATTCTGTCTGATTTGGCCTTGCACCACTGGCTAATAGCATAAGGCCCTATTATTAGAGCGTCACTTGGAAATTGAACAGATGGGTTCCCAGTACGACCTGGATTACATTCGAAAATTAACGTTTAACGTTTATAATTTTTAATACGAACGTAAATTTCATTATAGGAAAGAGCAAGGGATGCAGATCAATCTTCTTTAATCAGCGATGACGTAGTGGTTATTTATGTTATTTTAAAAAAAAACCTAATTCTCTCAATAAAAATATTCTATTAATTTACGCTTCGATTTAAAAATCAACTTTTTTAGCCCTTTTATAAATTATCATTATTGCTAATAAAAATATTTCTGTGGCAAATCTGTTTAGCACATTCATTCCATTTCGAAGGCCAATGGGGATAAAATAGAAAGGGCAAGCATATTGTTTTCATCAGATTCAACAAAATCGTCTCCTAAAACTGGTTCGTTCATTATTTTACTTTAATTATTAAGATTTTTGCATTTTATTTTTAATCTATTTAATAAAAATTTCGCTTTAAGATGTCCTAATGAGTGAATTCAAAGTAGGACGATTGAAGATCCATCGCGCTGAGCAAAAAAAGGAAATGGACACTATTAAGAAGAGTAGAGAAGCCGAGGTTATGGAGAAAGAAAAACTCTACAGAAAATTTTTCCATGGTTTTTCCATTTGATTTTACATTTTCTTGCCAAAATATCTAAATTTTTATCTAAAAAAATTTTAGACTGTATTCTCAAAAAACTATTTATGGTTTTCTGTTTGTAAGTAATAAAGCTTTATTGGGTTATCAGTGATTTCATTTTGCAGAATCCGAGCAGATGAATGACAGTTCCAGTCATTTAGCCACTTTCGGTTCCTCGACACTGAATCTGTTGAATCCAACATGGAGTTTCATTGCTTCAGATAGTGGCGATGGTGGGTATATGCGCGATTTTTCTATTAGACTTCCAACAATATTCAAGTGGAATCTGAGAGCAGATTCCACCAAAATTTATATCATATAATTTTTTGGACGAGTTTTAAGATTCAGTGAAGGAAATAATAATTGATGAACAGGATCCTTACGAAACAAAGGAAAGATATGAAGACAGTGAAAAAACCATGAAAAGAAGGTCGTTCATTTTTAATTTTTCTTATGTATTTAATCTTTTTTAACAGTGTCGGCTACTTCTAACTATTTACTTATATACCATCTAAACATTTAAATAGGAAGAGAAAAATTTTGTAAAGAGAAAAGCTCTACAAAAAAACTTTGTTAGTTTTTTATCTTCTTTGGCTAATTTATTTAATTATTTTAAAATTTTAAGTATAAATTTTATCTTATCATTTTATTTTATCTTTATGCAAAGGCACTAAAGTATCATTATTTTTTATGTTTATTTGTTTCGTTTGAATAAAGCTGTAGTTGTTTTTAATCATTTTTTCGGTAGATTTGTGGGTATTTTTCTTTTTTTAACTATATACCATGGTCGCATTTTTTTCACATTTTTCGCCATCACTTCACTTTAAATCACTGTAAAATTGTTAGTAATAGCAACAGCAATAATATAAAGCAATCATTGTTCAAAATATGCGCATAAATTAGACGGATATTTTCATTTTTCCGCATAACCATAGAAGTCGAGACGAACTTTAAAAAATCCTATTAAAATTTGAAAGGATAAGCGCTTGTAGTTTGAAGCAGGTTCGTATTACTTCTAACCAGAATGCAGCTATAAACGCACATATCCTTAATAGGTGACTTTTTAAATGAATTTCCTATGATATATGTGAATCTAAAATTTCGAAATATTTCGAAATAATAAAAATTTCGAAACAACAAATGATTTCGAAAAATAAATAATGAAAATTATGAATGTCGGATTTCAAAAAAAGCTGGATTTTGAAAATAAACCAGAGTGATCCATGAAAAAACGAAAAAACGAAACAATGTTATATCATATTGAATTTAGATCCTCACCGGAATCTGACTGCTCAGCCGTTAGTAGAAAAAAGCGAAAGATAAGTACAGCTGAACTAAGTTCTCTGGTATCAAATTTTATTTTTCAAGTTTTCTCTCATTTAAGAATTGAATTTTAAAAAAATCTTTGAAAACTGCTTTTTTTATAATATAGTTTAAAAATAGCATTGAAAACCAGAAGATGTATCTTCATTCGATTTTTCGTTCATAATGATTGGTGGTACAATTAATAGTTTTACTAGTTTCATTAACTGCTAGGTAATCTTTTCGTCGGAGAGTCACTTAGTGGTGAAGGTACAGGTGAATCCTGGCAATTCAAATTTGACTATGGTTTATTCCTGTCAAAGGGTAATGACCTTGTCCATAATGGCTTAAATTCGGAGTAACATATCAGTCAACCATAGAAGCACTGATCAGACTTTCTTTCGATATTTTTAAAAAATAATCATTTTATTTTTATCTTTCGATTTCATATCACTTTCCTTGTTTTTATAAGACACAATAATTTCTTTTCATAATTTCAGTTTTTCGATTTTAAATAAAGGATTATGATCGAAATCTTCTTGAAATCTTAATGAAATCTTAATTGTTTCCAATTCATTTTGCCTTTTTTCTAAAGGCTAACGAAAAATTTAGTTTACTTTTTTTAAACAATCGTAATTAGTTTTCAGTTGTTCTGATTCTGACGTTTTCAATTTGCTTAATTTAAGCTTTTTTCAAATGGATGCAAATGGAAATTAATCTTATTGAGTTTAATGTTCTAATATTAATATTTGTTTGTTTATTATTTATTTATGCGAATTTATTTACTTATTATTTATTATTATTTGTTGAACATTATTTTTGTCTATTTTACAAAATTTCATTAAAAAATTATTTTATTTTTTGTATTTAATTTAACATTTGATTGTTTGTTTTATATAATATTTTGGCCCATTTAATTTTTTTAATAATTTTTTTTGGCATTTCATTCAATTTTTTGTTTTTTCTTATTGTGTTTGAGCATTATTTTTGATTTTCTCAAAGATTTTATAATACAAAAAAATAAACATTCATATGTTTCTCACTAGATACCAGTATGGATAATATTTGGCAGTTTAAAAATTATACCTGAATTAATCTGAATTAAAGTGGTTAAGCTCGCTCTGCTGGCTTGTCGCACCAGGTGTGCCAGGGAGTTCCTCGGCGATAGATATACAGGTAAGTCACCAGCATATCCAAATTAAGCCCCTTTCGAACGGCGTCTTGTCAAAAAAGCGTAGACGAGTAGAGACGAGTGAATAATCTCTTTTTAATGTGATCAGGCTTGCCCGCAAAGGTCTCGTTGTGGCGCTCGCTTTCTCCTGTCACATTTTTAGTTCCATTCTTTTCGTTTCCACCTGCTCTCTCATACCGCCGTGTTAACACTTTCTCATCCATAGCTCACTTCACCATTTCGTCTCTTCCGCATCCCTTATAATCCACAGAAGAAAATTTGGTGGACTAAAAATTGTGCTCCTTTACTGATTGTCTTATATCAGCAACTTCCCGACAAGCCATCCCTTATAATCCACAGAAGAAAATTTGGTGGACTAAAAATTGTGCTCCTTTACTGATTGTCTTATATCAGCAACTTCCCGACAAGCCAGTTTGCGCCTGAAATTTCTTCTTTCCTAGAATATTCGACTTTAGAAATGTGTTTAATGAATTGCACTGCCGTATTATTTGCTCAGCGAAACGCGATAACGTCTACGATTTTTTAAAATTGAAATCAAAGTTGGATTCGCAAAAAAACTTTTAGATTTCGAAAATTCCAAAAAATTTATTTTTACATTTTCTGCTATTCGAAAAATTTTCATTCATAAATTACGTTAACGACAATAAAATTTGGTCGTAAAAAGCTAGAAAATCCAACAAAATTTTCATGCAAAAAATTGTTTGATGGGCTGCGGCCGCGAAAATAAATTTCCACACTGTTTTTATTTCGGTTTGCTTTGTTTTTAACGGATATTTTTCAGATCTAAAAGTTCAGTGCAGTCGCTGCAGCGTGGAGCTGTTTTTTATGTGGTATTTTGATAAATTTTAGAAATTCTTTCCATTCTTTCTTCTTATTCGCCTTTGTGGCGAATTGCGAATTGACGAAAAAGTTGTGCAACGGGAACGAAGTGAAAGAAGCAATAATAAAACAAATGAAGGACGAAGTGAAAAATGGACGGAAAGCAGAAGAAGAAGGGAAGGAACGTCGATGCAGTGAAGGTTAAACTTTTCCTCGAGTTGTTCCCTATAAGTTCGCCTGAGGCATCAAAAATGAGCGTTTTTTCACTGTCACTGTCGGGCTTATCTTCCGTCCTGTGTGGTGCATTGCGGTGAGGAAATGGGGATCAATTCTCGCCACTCACCGCTCTTATTGGTATGAAAATAATTCACGGAGTGGTGGCAGATTCATGCGGAAACATCCTTGCATGTGAAGCGGCGGCACACGCCACTGCGCACGCGCCCTTTCATTTCTTCCACTCCATATGTTTTATCGTTCGCCTGTTTCTCTCCATTTCCTTCTATCTTTCATTTTTGGCTTTTTTGCTACTGTATATACTGTATATGAATGGTCATTATACTGGAGTATTTTAGGAAAGTACCAATAATTATTATAACAATAAACGTGGATAAGATGAATTCTGAGAAATTTATCAATCTCTCATATCGCATGTGTAAACTAAAACTAAAAGTATTGCAAAAAAGTATCAAGTAGCAAATCCCACTGCAAGAAATTCATAATCCTTTATTTTATTCATAGATATTACTGAAATTATAGATCATTGAAAAATTTTCAATTTCCGAGAATTTTGAGAATTTTATTCGTTTATTTTTTTTCTTTATATCGACGATCTCCTTTACGGCTGCCTCAGTTTGGTTTCATTATTTCTAAATTTATATGGTGAAAACTGAAAGTATTGCATTTCGCTTTTTGTAAGTTTTTTAAATATTCAATTTTTTTCAAAGTTTAATTTTTATTTTTTATTTTTTAACCGATCTTTACATTTTTTATTTCATTTTCGTTTGAAATTTTTAAAAATTTTTTAAATTATGATTAGGACATCTACAGTTTTACAAATTTAGATATCGTCTTTATGTCACGAAATTATTCGGATTGTTGTACACCAAGCGTCAATTTCGGAAGAATCGTAAGGCGAATGGACATTCGGTTTCGGTAACTTTCCCAATTGGAAGTAAGTCTCTCATTTCATTTATATATTCTTATTTTATATTTTTTTATATATTTTATATATTTTTTTTCGGGTACTACTATCTGTATATTTAAAGTCCATCTGTACTTCTGTCTTTGGCAAAAATTTTTGAATTTACTAATAATCAATGAAGTTATCCTAATTGGAGATGGTGAACGCTAATTATTTATTATATTTTTAGGGACCTCGATAACAGCAATTCCATTTTCTGCTAATAATTATTGCTATATGGTAGAATCATCTAATAATGAAAATTGTGTTCTAATAATGAAAATTTTAATTGATGTCGGTGATCCGATACCTGTTCTTAATTTAATTCAGTCAATCAAAAAAATTCCTCGTTTAATATTGACTACTCACAAACACTGGTTGGTTTAGTGCAAGTTGTAAACAAAAATTTTCTGAGATTAGTGATTTATCATTTTTGTTTTTACACTGAAATTTAAATATTTATTTGAAAATAACCAAGCAATGCAAAAAGCACCATGAGCTTGCATTAATAAAATAACAAACCAACTGAAAAAAAAGTTAATATCGATATAAAATCCAAAAAAGAAATGTGTCTAAAAAGTTAACAATATAATGGGAACAAATGAGAATTACAAAATAGACACAAATCGAACTGAATGTGTTGACATGTTGAAAGATGTGACTTCAAACTTCGTGCATATTGTGAAACTTTTATTTAATATCGTGGATAATATTATTTAGTCATTTTTTTAGAGATAGCTAACAGTTCGCTCGATATTCCAGTAATTAATGCTGTGAAAAACCATAAGTCCTTAACTTGGTTTATATATTCACTTTGATAATTTTAGTC